AATTGTAATTTTTCGTTAATTTGGGCTAATAACGAATTTTATTGATTATTATTTCTTTTCATTACTGTTTAAAAACAAGAAGATAAATACAAAGGGTATTTATTGTACGAGCAGCGCAGAGATCTATTTTTTTTCTTCAAATTTCTTCATAGTTAATGTAAACTCAATAATATGAAAAGAGCATTAACCTAAAATGTTTTCTTCAAAAAAAGTTTTTTCTTTAAATTTATATGTATTTATAATTATGAATTTCCCCTTAATTCATACTTAAAGAAACATCTGGACAAAATGCATTTATTTTTAAATGCGTGACAACCAAAAAGCATTTATGAAAGAACTCATTGTAAGTGTCATGAAAACATAATTTAAGAATACTACATATTTCTTCCATGAGCGAAAAGTAAATGCTATTCGCATAGTAAACAAATTTTGTAAAACATCTCGCCCTGAACTATGAAATGAAATTGTTAATTTGAAGAGCATTTAAAAATTCTTCATTCCAGAATTCGAAGTTTTTATTCATAGATATCGGATCAAGTTTTGATTGCACATAAAAGACATTCAATGAAAGGAAGATGGCGTGCAATGTTACCGGAATCACAAATTAGTCACGAATATTAGCTTGTTATTAAATTATACGTCAATCAAGTCATTCGTGGCCAAAGCAAATGACACAACTTCCGTAGATAATTACGAAATGACGGAACAGACTTTGGAACTCAATCAACGATATAATTACGAAAAGGAATATGAGAAATGGTTCAATGTGTGGAAAGAGACTATTTATTTTGGACTAAGTCAATTTGAAATAACAACACGAGGCATTATTTGTAGTTTCCCACCTTAAAATATACAAAATGTAACTACTAAGCTAAGAAATTACAAAAATTCATAATCAAACTAAATGTTAATGTTAGTAATGCAACTTAAAATCTTATTAAAGAGTGTTCTTTCAAACTCTTGCTGCACGTAAAATTTAAAGAAATAAATAAATAAACAACAGCAAAGAATCTTCCGCTTGATTCAAAGATTGAACTTATAACTATAGATACTATTTAATTATACATTATAAGAGACGTTGAACAACCGATCCAATTTCAAGTTTACGTCTATCCATCTTCAACTCCGAAGTCTTGGGATTTCGAGCCCAACTCAGAAGACAAGGGAACTCCCACATCAAGCATTGGGCCAAGATATTTTTCGGGGAGTACTTTTGATAGAACTGACATGCATTTGCGTTAATGGAGAGAAAAACCACGAGAGGATTTCAATACGTCCTTTAACTGTTGGGCTAACCATGAGAGAATTATTAGCTTTTGAACGTAATGCACTCTTGAAGGTTAGGTGTTTCCCAATGCTTGATCTTAGAGTTCTCTTGCCTTCTGAGTACGGTTCAAAATGACAAGCCTACGGAGTTGAACTTTGAGCAGCAAATTCGATATTGATCAGCTGTCCAACGACCGTGATAATATAAAATAAAAAATATAAACTTGTACAATAATTTCATATGTTAAGAAAGAAGTGCACAAGGTTTTAAGAATTATGTTTCGCTTATATTTAGCGGGAATAAAAGAGAGGCGTTCTTCAGATTTAGAGTATTAATTTCCCATTTACCATAATCCTGTGAAACGAAGATGTCATTTATTTCTTGTATTACAAAAATAAAATATTCTCACATGAAATTCGCATAATTATTTTGGTTTAATCGATGCTCTTCCGGATAGGGTTTAAAATTTCAAGAAAAGTAAGTTCCGGAAGCATTTTATTTACTACGTCATCAAATTGGACAGAATAGAATATTCTCTCTCAATATTAAAAAATCGCAAGGACTGATTTCCGTTGCTGTTTTGGGTGTCAAACTAAACGTTACATTTTGTAATACTGCCCAAAAACAATGAGACTTAGTAACTTGAAAGGTATACAGGAATTACGATGGAATTAAAAAAAAATTATATTCGATACTTTCCTCGAGAATTATTAACTGTTAAACTTGTTGGGAAAAAATTTTGCATGCTGAAAAGACTACATTAATTTATAATAAACTTAACGGTTTTTTTCTTCTTGATTCGAAATTTAAATTTGCAACTTTTAAGTGCTTTATTTACGAACTTTTCTCACTCTTTTTTTGCTTACGTTGCATTTTGCTTTGCTGTTAAAAATCTATAAAACTTAGGAACTTGAAATTACGAAAACGTGTAGAAAAATGTATAATAAATAAAAAATACGATTCCATTGTTAGTTCAAGAATTTTCAACTGTTAAACTTGTAAGGAATAAAAAAACGATGTTGGTCAATCTACTGTCCGATGACACGCAAAATAAAATTTGATGCGCAATTAGGATCATTTAATAATATAAGAATGAGAATTTTTTTTGGAAAATCTCATTTGTTCAAAGGTTATTAAGTTTTCCTGATTTTTTTTTCAGGTTTCTTTTTTCATTTTAGCTTAAAAAATGGACCATTTATCTTTTGTTATAAAAAATGTATTATTACTTCACGATANCAATTAAACAGTGAGTGACGGCGCTTCACTCTTTATATGTACACTGTATGGTATGCAGCATGCAGGGATAATGCATTTCATAAAAATTTGGCGACCCCAAAAAAACTTCTGGCGACCCCTAGTTTGCGCACCACTGGCTCAGGGGATAGAGCGTCCGTCTTCCAATGAGGTGAACCAGGTTCGAATCCTAGCGATGGCTGGTCGATACGAATTTCGCATCCGGCTTGCAGCGACCACAGTGCTGACGTAAAATATTCTCAGTGGTAGACGGATCAAGGGTTTAAGTCTCCTCGCCGCCAGGCTAACCGCAGGAGGTTCTCGTGGTTTTCCTCTCTATGTAACGCAAATGCGGATTAGTTCCATCAAATAGTCTTCCACGAAGGCAAATTTCTCCCACTACTTGATTCAGAAGTACCCTTGTCTTCTGGATTGGGTTCAAAATGACTAGGCTACGGAGTTCAACATTTGTAGTCGTAAACCCATAAAATTGGGTCATCTATCCAACGACGGTTATAAAATTAAATAAAAGTTGTTAAGCAAAGCTTAACACTGATCCACCGTTAATGGGTCACCGGTATTCCCTGGATGTCCCCCACAATATTTAAATTTTGTTTCATGCTATAAACCATAAACTACTTTCAATGAAACGGAAAAAACTACATCATCAAATGGCGCACTTCATTTTATTCCTAACGACATGAAACAAATCAAATACAGGAAAAGTTAAATATGAAAAAGAACGTCGGAATAATAAAATTGTATTATTAAATTAAACTGATATCAAAATAAATCTGGCACAAAAATATTTAAAAAATATAAATAAATACTAAGTCTTCATTACGTTTCAACTTGGAAAAAAAAAACATTTCATAAATTAGAATGTTTCTGAACTGACTTACATTTCAACGCAAGATTATTTTTAAACGACGTTACACAATGTTTATCGACAACGTTACCTTCGCAATAACCACAACACACAGAATAAAAAATGTATCTGAATGTTGAATAAACAATCAATTTTTTATTACACTCTGACTAACCATAGAAGTGTTTTTTCCTTTTTCGAAAAAGAAAAAGCAAAGTAAAGATGATTTTTAACTGCGTATTCAGTGTTTCATTACTTACAGAAATGATATCTTTTTTAATTTCTATTTTGAGATCATAGCACTGGCCTATTTCTATTTATGTCATCTATATTTTTTATTACCATTTTTTAATTTATCATATGAAGACATGTCTCATTAAAGACACAATCCCGGAGAAGAAGATTTAATTCCACTGACGCGTTATCAGTTTACGTTACTGCCCTCTTATTAGACATTATTCAGTGCAAACTGAAGTAAACAACTCTACGTACTACAAGATAAAAGGGAGAGAAAAAAAAACTAAAAATAAATATTACTCTAAATAAATACATACCCAAAGGAAATATGTATTAAGTAAGTTTTCAATGATGTAAGAAATTCAAGAAACCATTTAACGTTTAAGAAACAATGCCTCACTTGCTTACACATACATAAATTAAGCAAAAAAAAAAAAGAACTTTTTACACATCATAACTTTTAAAACTTCTAAACTATTAATTATAACCACTTAGTTTTCATCTTATTTNAAAACTAAAAATAAATATTACTCTAAATAAATACATACCCAAAGGAAATATGTATTAAGTAAGTTTTCAATGATGTAAGAAATTCAAGAAATCATTTAACTTTTAAGAAACAATGCCTCACTTGCTGACACATACATAAATTAAGCAGCAACAAAAAAAAACATCATAACTTTTAAAACTTCTAAATTATTAATTATAACCACTTAGTTTTCATCTTATTTGATTTAGCATGAAGTATAAAGACACAATATAAGAAATATAAGAGATACAATATATCGCTTGTCTACACAGCAATGCAAATACATAAATAGGTTGCAAAAACATTTTATACGTAATAGTATTCTAACGTTTAAACAATTAGTTCCAGAATTTGTTTTGATCTCATTCGATTAAAAACTAACAAAAAAATACATTCAAACCTAGCGTTAACGTCATCTCGAAGGGAGAGAGAAAATTTTTTCGCCTTAAAAGTAGTTCACGTTATCAGTTAAGAAATTTTTTTACGAAAATCGTACAATACACAGCACAGAAATTTTCTATTATCTATTTCTATCGTTTTCTAAGCATTAAGTAAGTTCTATTATGAATATGGAAGTTAATATACATTCCATTTCATTTAAAGTTTATATTTTGCATTTTATATTTAATCAATAAATTCTATCATATTCTCATAATAAATACAACTAATTAGTACTTCAAAAGTTAACAAGTTTCGACTGCAATAAGAAAACCACGCAACATTAGTCCAGATAGCAATGTCAGGTGCGAAAATAAGGCATTAGTCAAAATTTTTTCGCATAAAACATTAGTCTTTACTATGAGTTCGATCGACTAGAATTAGGTTTCATTCGATTCAGCGTAATAAAATACTTAAGAAAAGAATACCTCACTTGTCTTGATAGTAATATTTAAGTTTCTCTCCTTTTTAATCCACTGTGCAGTCACATGTCACCATTGTTTTTCTTATCCAATAGAACATACCAGGAAAAATTAGACCACCCACAACATTTAGTGAAAATGACCACCAAGTCCTAATAAAAGAAGCAGTTTGAAAGAGACTACTTTTTTATCAATCTCATTTTAATGAAGCACGTTTAGTTTTATATTATATACAGAAATATAAAAACCTTTTTTCCTCCCATCACAACAGAAGCGAAAATAGGAATCTTATGAATAAAAATTCTTTTTTTAAATTTATCTATCAGGTTGTAAATCATTTTCATTAAAATATAATAATTATAAACAGCAATAAGGACTATGCGTAAGACTTTCTCAATAATAATCAACGTTTTTACCCTAAAATAAGTTAAAAATGCCTCTAATTTAAAATTACAAAAATTAATATTTAAAATTACCATTATATTATTATTAATACCATTATTTTATTAATTATTTTGGCAATCTAAAACTATAGAAATGTAAACTATATAAATTATAAAAAAGTATAAAAAATAAATAATAATCGAAACTAATATTGGTCACTAGTTTAATGAGTAGCGCAAATACTTGTAAAAATAATATATTAATTAGCTACTGAATCAATTTTAGTCCAACTAACAAATTTGTTAATTTATCAAAACGATCCGTACAGAACATATTGGGTGTACTACATACATTAGGTGAATCTTTTATTCGAATGAAGTAATTTTTTTATTCCAATTTTGGGTTGGAAAGCTTGGATCATACCAAACCGTAGGTTATGCTTCCATGCATGAAAACTAGCAAATTATATAGCGCTATGACATTACATTATGGACAAAATTAATTTGTTACATTTAAGTTTATCTTCCTGCACTTTAGCAACGGTTTTTAGTTTATTTACATTAATCTTGTTTATTTATTTCAGCAAAGCACGGCAAGGGTCGTCCCTTAAGTCAAGAGGTACATAATTTATTTATTTTTGAGAAAAAAAACTGAAAACAAGTGCCAAAAGCAGGAATATCAGAAAAAAAAACAGCTGAGGAAGGCCAGTGCCCATCCCAAGCTGTCAAGCCATTGAGGAAAGAAGGAACTAGTATTTCTTAATATCAAAAATCTCAGAAAGCACTCATTTTAGCTAAGTTAAAAGTAAGTCATTTGAAGCACCGTAGAAAGTTAAACGAAGAAATTTAATCTCAGAAACGAAAAAGGATAAATGTCTCAATTAAACCATAAACGTCTAAGATAAGACATTTCCAACAATGAACAGCCCAACGTTTTGACTCTCGCACTTTGAAGAAAAATCAATTAAAACATCATACACTAAAACCCTTTGAAGATAACCACTTGAGATGAGTCTCTTCCAACTTGATAACATTTCAAGACATCTTTCTTTTTTAACTGTGGAGACAAACAGTCAGCAGAAATAAGAAAGAAAGACACACTATCCAAGACAAACAATAGAAGACTGGTTTCGAGGCCACTGGAGCATCCAAGAGAAAGAAGGAAAAAAAATTATATATAAACACTCGTCTCCGAAATTCTTCGTGAAGTTCACTCTATTTTTGCAATCAGCTGTCAAGTCTCAAATATTGTCGAGAGAGGCCGAAAAAAAAAGTGTGTGTATAAAGGAAGTAACGGTCTCTCGAGATGGCTGAGATAACTTAACTTTAATTGACAGGGAATGAGTGGGAGTATTTGTACTAATCTCAGTAATTTCTTTCATATTTATTGGAGATAACAGATAGAAGAGTTCAGAAAAAAAAGCACAATACAACTCTTATCTACAGAGGGCCAGTATGCCTGGATTTTTATGAGTTGCAGCATAATAGTTAAGAATAATATCTCATATACTTGCCGCCACTTAAAATCAGTTATTTTTAATTAATTTAATAATAACCCTTTCTCATCGTTAAACAACAAAAACGAGCTAGATTATCATAGGCATAGCAGAGAAAAATACACTTAAGGATTATTCTTACTAACTTAACCATTTGTTGAAAAATTTCTGTTAAACATATTCCTCCCCCCCCCCCAATTTCTATTNTCCTCCCCCCCCCCCAATTTTCTATTAAGTCAAAAAAAAGTTAAAAAATATTATATTTAGCATTTTATTATTAAATGATTATGAAATACAGCATGAAATGATGGTGTCTTTTTCTATATTAAAGGTAAAATCTCCCAAACACATACACTTCCAAACAATATTTGCACTTATATTCAGTTCCTCAGATCGAAGAAAAATTGTTATTCGTCATTGAAATTACTTTAATTTACAAAATCAAACATTAATTACAGAATATGAAGGAGAAAAAAAAGTTTTTTCGAACTGCTTTTTTTCTTTCTTTTTTTAAATTTCATATTTTAGTACAAGTATAATTTAGATAATCTAACAAATTCTTTTAGAAATTATTAGACTTTTTTCCCCTTTTTTTTTGAGAGTTAAAAACACTAAAATACATTTTTGATTGTAATTAGAGCGAAAGAAAGAAAAAAAAATACATATATGAAAAGGACACAGGCTTTCCATCCGTGTCAAAGGAATAAATGTAATATAATAATTTATTTATTATATACATAAATCAAATTATCATGTCGCAGTGGCTCAGGGGATAAAACATTCACCTCTCAATGCTGTAACCCTGGTTCTCATTCCAACGGTTGGTTAGTTGTTATGAATTCTGCTCCCGGCTTGCACCGATCACAGTACTGACACGAAATATCCTCAGTGATAGACGGATCATGTGTAAGAATCCCCTTTCAGTCGGGTTAATCGTGAGAAGTCTTCGTAGTTTTCCTCTGCATGTAACGCAAATGCAGGTTAGTTCCATCAAAAAAACCTCAACGAAGGCTAGTTAAACCCATTGCTTGATTCAGGAGTTCCCTTGTGTCTGGGAGGGGTTCAAAATGACTACGCTATGCAGTTGAACATTGATAGTCGTAAAATCAGAATTGGATCCACTGTTCAATGTTGGTTATAAATGATGATGGTATATACAATGATTTAATTAAATAGTATTGTAATACATTATTTGTAGATCCTATAGATAAAATTATATCAAAACAAAATCTGGAGCGCTCTTAACAGCTTAGGATACGCTCTTTTAAATTCTCAGAATATATTAAAGTATGCACCCTCTATTGTACTACACTTTCAGCGTGTATAATAATTTATACGTGAAAAAGGGGCGGCACAACAGAAAGAACGCCGGAGACGGCAGGAGACCAACAACGGACCAATTTAACATCCATAAAAGTAAATTGAATGATCTAATTAAAGCGTTCGGTTGATAAAAAAAATTTTATTACACCTTTAAAGAAGGAAGGATGCCTATTGAGAACTATATTGTTGAGAGAAATAAATAAAATTCTCTTCTGATAACGAAATCATACTTTAAAGCGAAAAATCACAGAATAAAAATATACTTATTTCAACAAAAATTGCCTTTATTTTTTTAATCTAATAAGTTTTTTAGCGTAGAAATTTTACGCATTTTTTTTACAGTTCAAATAAACAGAAGATGTAATTTAAGAAAACCCAGCAAAAAAATAAAATAAATAAAACAATAATAAACAACAAAAATGAAGTACATATGTCAACTCACAAAGAAATGCCTTTTCTACATATTAAATTTGAATTTTTACGAAAATACTAAAATGCGAAAGAATTCACTATTTAAAGTGTTTCTCATTACAGTGCAGGCATTGTTTAATAATTAAGATTTTACAATAAATTATCACGACCTTTTTTCTTCCTTTTTTTTTTCGTATGTTGAACTTAAAGTCTGGCATCCTAAATTTTTCGGCAGTTCGCCTCACTTTTTATTTTCATGGATTGAAAATAATCATAAATAAAAATTCTAACAAAACAGTTTTGGATGAAATGTTCTAAAATCTTTAGAGGCAAAATTGACGTTAATAAAATTTAAGTTTTTTTCATGATATAAAAATTTTGTAAAATAAAATTCGTTACCTTAGTTTCCTGAATAAGATTATGTTAAAAACAAGATAAAGTTTTGATTGGCACTTAACACTATTTACTGAAAGATAGAGTATAATAATTAATAACAATAATGAAAGACTGGTTTTCTTTATAGAAAGAATTTCTTTACAGAATCTTAATTTATGTTATATAAATAGTGTACTTCCCATACTAAATTAACATTTACTTTTTTATAAAACTATTTCATCACGCTGATATAATTTACACCTTAAAGCTTACTTTTCGAAAAAAGAAGTATAAAATTACTCATCTGTCATCCCACAACTAGGCAACCTTGACAGATCTTTTTTTTTTTCTTTTTACTTCATATTTCTAATATGTGATGCGCAATTTTTTTAAGCTGCCTTCTAAGGTATCATTGAACAAAAAATGTCTATCAAAGAAGTTCCAAAATAAATGGTGAGCTGGCGCCACTTAAATAAGATGCAATTCGGCGTCATATCTAAGAGCTTATTTGAATGCAAGTTCACGTATTCCGAAACTGGAAGGAAAAAAAAAAAAGATAAACATTTGAGAAAATAACGTTTTTTTTATTTTTATTACTATTGAGCAGGTTGAAAAACATAATGTATTTAAAAATTAACTATTTCGTCGAAAATGTCTTAAAAGCTATTATTCATATCAGCTCACATTAATAAAATCTTTATTAATTTTTTAAAAAAATAGCTTTAATAATATTCCATACCGCAACAACCACTCATTAGAGGATTCTCAGCAAGAATAAAATTAATCCGAACGTTGCTTTAAACCTTGTGGCAGAATCGTGGCGCCATTGTTGCAGAACGTTGCAGAGTTCTTGCAGAAGGATTTTTCCTTCGGGAATAAAAAATTTTGTTTTTCTTTCTGCAGAAACTTCGAAAGATTTTATTTTTTCTTCAGAATCATATTCAAAAGATGCCTTTCTCGAGCATCGGAGTGGGGGGGAAAATGCTTGTGTCTTTTCTATTCTCATTGGAGAATAATGAAGTAAAAAAATTTGTTTTGTTTTCTGTGGAAATATTCGTTCTAATTTTTCATGCAGTTATTACTGATTTTCACAAAGATTTTTAAAACAGATATTATTTATCACAACTAAATCTCGAAATGAAAACACGCATTTAGAAGAGTCCC